TGGTAACATAGCCAGTGTATACTCCCGGGAGTAAATTTCCCGGGAATACCCGGGAAATATTCGTTTTAAGATTCTCGTTGGTCCCCGAAAATTTTTGGAGTTTTCATCTTCACAAAATTCCCGAGACTTCCGAGAAATTCCCGAAGACTCCCGGGAAAATTTACGTACAGTAGTAAGCAGTATGATATACAGGGTGTCATTTAAGTTCCCGCACAACTTTGAAGACGTATATTTCTGAAACTAAAAGTCCAAATCAAACGAGACTCGAAATATTTTTTATCTATAGTATAACAAATATTTATCTATTAACTCTTTTTGATTCGGCCTCTTTTCGCAGCTATGACTTCACGGAGACGCTTCGGGTAGGATTCGACTGTGCTACGCAGGTATTCGATGAAAAGATTGTCCCATTCCGCCAGTAATGTCTTCTTCAGAGCCTCTTCACTTGAATGGGGTTTTGCGTTGACCTTCCCCTGCAAGACCCCATCACGGAAAAGTCAAGCGGGTTCAGATCTGGGGAGCAATCAGGCCATTCGGATGACTTGATGAAGTCGGGAAAATGGGTCTGGCACCACTCCTGAGTAGTTTTGGCAGTGTGGGCGGGTGCTCCGTTCTGTTGAAAGACCCATTTCTGCCTACCGAAATGCGTTTGGGTCCAGGGCATCAAATGCTTCTCCAAAATGTCCCCAACGTAGACTTCTTTGTTCATTATCACCCCCTGATCCACGAAAACCAGGAGGCACATCCCGGTTGAGCAGATGGCACCGAAAGCCATCACACTGGCAGGATGTGAGGCTCGATGAATTGTTCTTCCTTTCTCAGAAGCTTGCTGGGATGTCTGGGCAAGTACTCAATGGTTTTGTGAGTTGAATGCCGCCTCCACAGTGAACAGCTTCTCGTCGGAGAAGACAGTGACGAGGTGTTCTCCAGACCGCGTGCGCGCAAGAAGTCGTTTTGCTTTTTCGAAGCGTTTCTGCTTGTTGACGGCTGATAGAATTGCCGCTTTTTGGACACGATATGGGGTCAGTACAAGCTTCGTTTTGACGATTTGTTCCATAGTGAAGATGCTCATTCCCACGTCTGATGCCATCTTTCTCATGCTCCTGTGGGGGTTTCGCATGATCCTCGATTTAACGGCGTTTATCTTCTGAGGAGTGGTTACTGAGACGAGTCTTCCTTGCCTGGGACGGTCACTAGTCGTATTTAGCTCCTTGAATCGTTTTATGGTGTCATAAACCGTTCTACAAGGCACACCGACCCGTTGAATGATGTCTCTCGGGCTCACATTTTGCTTATGAAGTTCGATAATGGAAGCGCGATGGATGTTAGCCTTCACCATTTCTCGGAAACACATCCGAATGAGGTGAAACTTGGAAAGTAAGTAAAATATACCTTATTTAACAAAAATAAATTGTATTGGTGCACGAAAAGTGTGACAGCCAAGCTCTTCATGGCGTCAAACTTTTGTGCGGGAACTTAAATGACACCCTGTATGTACAATTTTCTATTTTGGTCATAACTTTTCGAAAAGTTGAAAAATCGATGAATTTTTTGGACAACTTTAAGCATCGATAGAGTGATTATATGTATAACAAAATTGGAAGGTGTAAAACACATTAGGAAAAATTTTATTGACAAAAAATCAGAAAATTCATTTTAGCGAAAAACCGACTTTAATAATTTTGATATCGGTACGACTTGAAATGAAATGGAAAGCAACAATTATCTGTCTGGAAACTTTAAACAACTCAATATCTTGCTGACATGCCATTTGCATCGATCCCATTTTGACATCGGAGACCCATGGATTCGATCAACTTCGGGAGGGTTGAAACTGGTATATCCATGCTCTCCTCAGCTGCTCGAGTATGTTGGCACAATTTTGTGTTGTTTGACCTCGAAGACGTCTACCAAGATCTTCCCACAAATGTTCAATGGTGTTCAAGTCAGGTGACTGGCTTGGCCAGTCCATCAAGGCCACCCGACGCTGCTGGAACTTTGATTAAGCGAGAGCTATGTTTAGGATCAATGGGAAAAATGGGTAAATGAAGAGCCAGACATATGTATTTTGGTCATTCACAAAAATGACACATTTTGGGGAGATAAAGTATAATTTTCAAAAAAAAAATGTTTTGAAAATCTGCAAAAATCGCATTTGGTCAAAAAAAGGTGCGCCAGCGTCAACCTTTTGTATACTATTTCAACTAGGCGGCTCCTGTAAAAGGGATACATTTTTTATTTCAATATAATAAGTTATTTTTCAATTAGTTTAACATTTTTTCGGCATTTAAATTTATATTTTTTTTTCTGTAACAACAATTCCTTAACAATTGAGGGGAGGGGGGAGGGTCTCTTGAGAAAATTTTTCCAAAAAAAATTGCACGTAAATTATAATAATTAAAAATAAGAAAAAATAATGACATTGGCGTGGATATGACACGTCGATTTCGTTTATTTATGAGAAAAAAAAGAAAAATTTGCTTATTTCTTATAATTTATTGAGAACGCTAGTCGACGTTGGCATTGATTTGCTCCGGCCGCTCGAAGATTGTGTAAGTAAGCTTTTCATTCTTTGTTTTATCGTTTTTCGCAAATTCCAAAAATCAAATGTTTCAAAATTAAAATAATTCATGAGGATTTTAAAAATAGCGCCTTCTATGTATAGTCTCTACAACGAATGCTCCGGTCCGCTGTGTGCGTGTCTCGAGAACATTCGTTGAGTCGGATTTGAGAGAGCCCGCACGGGTGCCGCGCTTCTCGTGCCACGAGACGCGGACCAACACCTCGCTTCGGTGACCCTTAGGGTCCGACCCAGGAGGGAAATGCCTGGGGAGTCTTGGCGCGCACGGTGGAGTGGCGCCGGAGGACGTTTTGTTGTGGAGACTTCCAAATTGGTTAGAATTTTTTGAAAAAAAAAAGAATGAAACAATTTTTGATCCTGAAGGCGTATATAAAATTATTAAAAAAAAAATATGAAATCGAGGGGTTTGGGAAATTCGAAAAAACAAATGGTTCAATAAATACCATAAATTTGAAATTGTTTCATGCACACATTGGACAAATGACGCAGCTGGGACGAGGCACAATGAAGAGAATTGCCGAAATGAATGAAGAAGTCACATTTTACAAAAGTATTTGTTTTTGAAGCAAATTTTGCTTTAAATTGGAGCACACAGGTAAAATGCGTCGAACGCACACTGTAATCACCGTGGGACATTGGGCCTACGGACGCATGCTTTAAGTAGGTCCCATATGGGGGGCTATATGTCTCACCAGCTTTTAGTTTTGTCTGAATTATATTAACATAGCAAAAAAACGAGCGCCTTGCAGAATTATGGACCATCGCACTATTTCGATGCGGCAATTCGAATTCGAGTTGAAATAATTGGCTACCGTACTCTGGATAACCTGCGAATCAAACTCACCGTAAATCGGTGCAGAGTGCTCAAGATCGACACCGAGCAGTGCCTCGATTTTGTTGTCGGAACCAATTTTGAACCGAATGATTTCGAGCTGGCAAGTCAATTTCTTATTGTGTTGGATGGTTGAGTGTGAAAAATTTGAATTGCGCGGGGCTTTCTTTCAATTTCACGGGTAGCGTCTCTACGTGGGACGAACATTTGACCGCCTGTTGTCTCCGATCTCTATAGTTAGTTGAAAAAAAAAATATAATAATAATTAAAATCACGAATAAATTTTTTTGACGTGTCATTTTTTTGCATTTCATTTCTAATGCCAAGATTCGGACAACCGGCGGTCTGACGGTTTGCCAGTTGTGTCGCCCACCCGAACGGAAACGTTATTCTTCGGCAAACCTTCAGAACCATCGCAAACTTACACCAATAAAATGCTCTATTTTTTCTTTTAACGAACCCAAATTAATTTTTTTTCCATGCGAGACACTAAATTCTAATTCTAATGCAAATATGCGTTTTGGTAAGTCAAATCAAATCTGATCCGAACGCAAATATTCAAAAACGAGATTGGTGTTGACAATTCCACAAAATTATTTTTGATTCCGGACCCAATTTGTTTCGGATCCGATTGATTTTGATTTTCCAAAGTTTTATTGATGGCATTATTCTCCGAAAAATCATGTAAGTCTTTTAATTAATCCCGTCGACGATAATTATAATAAAATCCTGTTTTATGTTCTTTTTTTGTGAAATTATGTTTTTGGTGCTAATTATTTAAAAAATAGTGATTCGCAAGTAATTCGCCACTGTTAGTTTTGCTCTTCGATGCATATTTCGAAACTAGTTAGCTTTTCCTGACGATGATTTGTGTAGTAAGTTTATTATATAAAAATTTTATATAGTAAACTTTAAATAATATAATTTATAATAAAATGTTGTAATCGTGTTAATTTGGAACTTGGAAAAATTCGATATAGAATAGAAGCAAGGGGATGATGATGCTAGATTTATTTCTAACTCTTTGCTTCTGTTTTGGGAGCATCCCATCTTCGATATGTTGCCCGATTTTTTCGACGCACAGTTCCGCTTCATCCCCCACCCCTCCTTATTCCGAGTTGCTGGTCAGTACCTGGTGGAAGTGCTTCTCGCTGCGTTGTGCTTCCCTTCCCTTCCCTTCCCCCCCTCTCAGACGTGCAATTAAAATCAAACAAGACGGCGGCGCGATTTGTGCAAAAACCCAAAAAGGCGTACTCTTTTAAATGTACAAACATTGTGAAAGTGACCGTCGTCTGCGCGCGAGCGCCTCAAGTACACGGCGCCCCGAGCCTGGCTGCTGTGGATTAAGTGACGCAACGTTGTTCCATCGACGCCGATGTTTGTCGTGGAAGTACGCGCGGTGTCCGCGCGGAACGTGGCCCTTCCTTACACGGGGCGGGCGTGACCTCACGAGCGGCGCGGCGACCTCGCCCCCCCTCTCTCTCGCTTTCTCTGTTTCGATAGTCGCCGGCGCTCCGACGAACAGGGCCCCTCCTCAACTTTTGTAGACGGCCCGAGGATCACGCCGAGCCCCACCGCGAATCACGCATGGTCGAGCCGTCTTGTTCCGCGTTCCCGCTTCCGGTGGCACACTACGCGGCATTCAATACTCCGAGTAGCAGCTCCAGTACTACTAGTAATCATTCAATTAACAATAATAATCCAACGGCTAGTAATAATAATAATGGCGGAACACAACAAAGGTAATCCAGTTTTCAATTTTCTTTTTTGATATTCGTAGTGTCGTTGATCAACAAATTTTGAGGTGCTATTTTTCTATCATTCAAATTGTCATTTTGGGTCTCGTATGGAAAATATCTTAAGCGATATTTTTTTTCAATCTAACTTCGGAAAAATTTTTTTAATTATCAAAAATTTCTTGGACTGTGGAAATGATTAAATTGACGGACTATTCTTTTCGCTTAACTGGACTGATTTAAATATCAGTCGGCTCAATTAACCATGTTCTATTGTCCTGGACTCCCCAAAATGAAGCATCTGCGAAAAACTGAAACATCAATCATAAGGTGCTCAAATCAGCTTCCTTATTATCCAGATAACCGTAATACATCATTATTTCTTTTATATATTCGAAATAATTGCTATCCACTTGGACCAATACCAGCATTATTGGTATTGGTCTTTAAAAAAATTTTTGTTATTCTCAATACATGTTTGATCTACGATTCTAGGTAATGAATGTTAGGTTATGATTTCTTTTAAAATATTGAAAATCGAGTTTATCGAAGTTTCAGGGGTTTCAACTGAATTTCAATGTTAAAAAATCGATTTTAAGAATTTATTTCGTCGAAATTGAAAAAAAATTACCATATGCTCATTATTTTGATTTTTAGCACTTTTTTCAATTTTTTTTCAATTAATTTAAAAATGTGTTTACTATTTTCGAAATCTAGTGAAAACCGTATCGTCTGATTTCACTTTTCTATTCCGACCTCAAAGTTTCGCAAATGTTCCCAATTCGTTGAATTTCTTTGCTCAACCACTCAATATCCATTTCGAAACGCAAATACCGTACACCGTTTTTCGCGTGTGACGTCACAAACGGTCATTTCTTTGCTTTGAGCGGAGTTTTGGTAAGAAGCTGCGCGGTCTCTCCGTTTCGCATAATATACGTATATCTATATATTTAAACATGCGATGCGTGTTTTGAAAGTAGGCAAATATAGTCGCTCGTTGCGAGAAACCGAATTAACATAGTCAATATTGCATAATTGTCACGATTTTTATAGATCGACGCGCGGAGCATCGAAGCAGCGACGCGATCAGATAAATGTCGAAATCCAGAAGCTTCGCGATCTTCTCCCGCTGTCGGACCTCATCAAGGATCGCCTGTTCCAATTGCAAGTGATGTCATTGGGATGCATATTCATTAGGAAGCATAGATATCAACAAACTGGTACTGAAACCAAAATTGAATCGATTCAAAAAATAATTGATCGAAAATTGACAGTTTTGCAACCGCTCATGAGCACTCCGGCAATGCCACGTGGCATCGACATTTGCAAAGCGCTTCGTGGCTTCATGCTCATGATGACGAGAAGCGGAAAATTGTTGCATGTCTCGGACAACGCGTGCGAGTACTTGGGACATTCTGTGGTAAGAAATCGCTTGGAATGTCCGCAGCAGATGATAAATGCATTTTAGGAGGAAATCATGTGCCAGGGAGATTCCATTTACGATCTTGTGGATCTTCGCGATCATGGGGCTGTGCAAACCGAACTCGCCACAGGCCCTCCCGCTGCCGTGTGTTTCCCTGAAGAGCGCGCATTCATTTGCCGGTTGAATTTGGCGCGAACTGCGAAACGACAGCTACAGTACCACAAGGTAAACACTATTTTCATTGCCCATATTAGGCCTCCCCCCCACCCTCCATTTTTTCAGTTCATTTTGCTGAAAGGACGCTACATTCAACCGGCCGAGTATTATCAAGCGATGAGCGCCCAACTTCCTCAATCGGAGAGTGATCAGCCAGTGTTTGCTGCGTTCTGTCAGCCGCTCATTAACCCAGAAAATGCTGAATCCATGGCTGTTGGAAATACGAATGTGTTCAGCACTCAACATTTTCTTGATATGAAGTTCAAGGATGCAGATCAAACGTAAACCAACCTAATCATCGTGCAATTAAAATTTATCGTCATTTTTTTTTGAAGCGGATGCCATCACTTGGGTCACAAGAAAGAGGAGATTCGCGGAATGTCCTGGTATGGAATGCTGCATCCCAACAACGTTTTGGAAGTCTCCTACAAGCATCGATTATGTATTATTAGGGGGGACTAATTAGCTCTAATTGACTTTTATTCGTTTTCAGTATGCCAAGAGAAGGAAGGATCGGTTCTATCGTTGGTTCGCGTCCAATCAGCCAGCGGTCAATGGATTTGGCTGCATTCGGTATTCTCGATTCGAACAAACAATGAGACAAACTCCGACGGAAAACGACTAAAGCACGTCATTCATTGTTTCCATCAAGTTTTGTCGTGAGTTTTTTTTTGTCCCCGTCGGAATTTGCGGCTTTCAAAAAAGCGTTTGTTTCAGCGAATTGGAAGCGGCAACCCTTCAAGCGAATTCGTGGATCTATTCAATGCGTCACACCTATCCGACCGTCGTCACCTCTCCAGAATCCCCGCAGCAGGCCGAAAAACCGCCGCCGAGTCCGCCGACTCCTCCGTACAATGCTCGAGAGAATGATTTTGTTCCGGTTCCAGATTATGACTTTAACCAAGCAAGATTCCAAATCCGAAAATTTATTTATTTTTTTATTCATTAATTTCAGATCAAAGTCGAGATACCGATTCGGCCGATGGTTCCGCATCTATCAATGTTCACACCGGAGTCGTCGTCGCCTGAGAGCTCAGCATCGCTTCATTCCAGCTTATTGCAACAACCGTTCCCGCAGCAGAATGTCGCCGAGATTCTCGATGAGATCCTTCCAGCGACCAGATCACAAGATGTCCTTCCCGAACTCAAAGATGATGTCGATGAGATATTGAGACAAGTAAAAAAACGCAAAATTCCAAATTTTGAGTTTGACTTTCATTGTCTCTTCAGGTTGAACAGAACGAGGATGTGATTCCTGCCCGAACGCTTGCTCATCGTCATTCAATGTTCGACCCCCATACCGCCGAACTCTACAAATATCTCGGACCGGCGTTATTCGAAGCCTCAAATGATCACGAGAAAATGATGCGTCAACCGATAATCCCGCCACCGACCAATATGTTTCCGCCGAATTTCCAGCCGACCTCATTCCATTACCCGTTCAATATGCATCCCAATTATTACCAGCGTAAACGCAGCTGGGCTGTTTAGAAAAGAAAAAAAAATGAAAATCGCCAATATTTGTGCATTTTAGATACTCTTCCATCATATTCATTCCGTACCAAATCTCGTCCAATCCCACACAACATCTATTCCAATCCAATCCTCTCTGTCTCACTTATTTCTTTTTTTTATGATGTCTTTCAAAACAGTATTAAGTCGGGTAGAAATGCATATGTATCACAAACACCGTCTGGGCTTTCGCAATATTATTCTTATAAATATAATTATATTATAGTATGCTTTTTTTAGACGGCAGAAGCTTGGTAATCGATTTCAGGCGCCTGGGAATGACATAGGTGTTCGGAAATCGCGAAAATATGAAATAAAAAAATTTTTGGGCAGTCTCGTCCTTTTCTCTTTGAATGCGTTGGAATTGTGTATTGTTCGCCTCCTCAATTTCGAAGCGATAATGCTTTTCGGCCTTGAAACTATGCAAAAAAATGCCTCGAAACAACGATTACTGCATGCGCGGCGGCGCTGGGGGCACGAGGGCATTCTCGACGTTTCGTTTTGTCGTCGTCCAACTCGCACATTTCAAATTTTTCTTGAAATATGTGTATTATTGTCTGAAAGTGCCCCCCCCCCTAGGGAAAAAATCTACCATCAAAGGATTAGAATGGACGTGATTTTGAAACGTATTCGATTTTTGTTACCTTGAACAGTTTTCACGTGACGCTTCTTTGTCTCATCTGATGCTTATTTGTTTTTCGATCATCGCACGTTTGATCTATCTGAAAACCTTCGCTTCATATTATAAAATACTTCTCACTCAGGCAAATCAAATAAAATATTTTGAGAATCAAATATTCAATAATGAACTCTATTTTGAGAAATTCTAAAGTTTATTGTGAGTTTCTAAAACTTATTGAGAATAGATAAGTTTAAAAATACTTTTTAAAATCTTATAAGATTTTCTAAAATTTGTTGAGCAAATTCTAAATTATCTCAATAAATTCTAAAATCTTATAATAATTTCTAAAGTTCATTGAGAAAATTCTAAAATATTATAGAACCACGTTAGTTTCTCAATGAATCTCAAAATATTTTATTCGATTTACCTGAGCAGGCAAATCAAAACAAAAATATTTTGAGAATCAAATATTCAATAATAAACTCTAAAATATTTTGAGAAATTCTAAAGTTTATTGTGAGTTTCTAAAACTTATTGAGAATCGCTAAACTTAAAAATATTTTTTAAAATCTTATAATAATTTCTAAACTTGATTGAGAGAAATCTGAATTATCATAGAGACACGTTAGTTTCTCAATGAATCTCAAAATATTTTATTCGATTTACCTGAGTATTCGAGGCTTGGTTTGCATCATTTGCAATATCTCCCTGGTTACGTCAAACATAAAACTTTAAAAACTTTATTAGTTAATAAATTGAGGACGGATGCTCTCAAACGATTCGCTAGTTTAATGCATCCCACCGATTCTCAAAATTACCAAACTTGTTTTTGTGAGAGCCCACCTTTAAAGGAGCACACTCGTGAACCTGCAATTAATAGAAGCTGTTTGAATGATCAAAAATTCGATTCAATTCCAATTGAAAATGTAGACATCAATTCGCATAATCCAATCATTTTTGATTCCTTCATGCGCAATATAAAATAAAAGCGATTTTTTTGAGATGTTCTAATCCACTTTTTTTGGCATTTCAATTCGAAATCTAGAACGCTTTTTGACAGTGCGCGCGATTTTTGCTGTCCAAACAATTACCAGCCTATTTTTCTCATCAACCGCCACTAATTGCGCGCTCTCTCGTCGTCTAGTATCAATTTTTTTCGGCATTGCTGAAAACGTCTTGGCAAATTTGCGCATCGACTGACTTCCTGACTCGTTTTTGTTCTCTCTCTCTCTCACTCGTATCACATTCGCTGGCGCCGCCGCGGACGGGATTCGTCAAGGTTAACGTCGATCGGCCCCCGGGGGTCACATTGGCTGAGGTGACCCGTAGGCGAAAACCCGCCAAAAAATTGTGTAATATGGTCATTTTGTTGATTCCCCATTGTTTTGTTCGTCCGCCATTGTCCGTCCGCTCCCCTCGAAGCAATCAGCCATACCTAAAACAGTTCATTCCGATTCAGACGTTCTTGTCGCTTTCAGTTTTTGTTCCTTTTTCAATCAATGCCATTGAACTTCTCGAATGTTTCAAGTGCTTCAAACAAATGTAATTCAATGCATTGAATATCGATGTCTAATTTTAGCTGATCTACTGAATAGAATTATTATTTCTGGTTGAAATGAATTGAGATTTCTAGCTGATTTTCCACTAGCAATTTTTTTTTGTTTAGAGATATTCACGCCAATTTACACGATTGTTTACATCCAATTTTTTTTTTGAAAAATCAGATTTCTATTATAAAGTTCACATTTTCAATGTTAAATTTTTTATATAAAAAACTAGTTTTATTTTCATGTCAATGTATTGTTGTGAGATCAAATTTTAAGATCCTACACATATTTGGACGTTGATTTGAAGAATTTTTTTCACTCAAATCGTTGGGTGAAAATGTCCGCAGCAAGGTATTGTTAAAACGTTGTTAGTATTTTTTCGGCTTGTTTCGGAACTTTTTCTCTTGCGTCAAAATTAAATATGATTTTTGAGTCTTTTATGGACATATTCATGAACCAAACAAATAAATCTCGTAAAATGTTTAGTTTTTTACTTTCACATTTTTAGCTATGGATTCTATAATTTTAAAATGTTAGTTCTCAAATTTTTGATTGCATAAAAATGAGAATTCGTGTATGAATTCAAATCGACACGAAAAAAGCCCTTGAACACCCGTTTTCGTTTCGAATGACCCTAGATTAGTATCAGCATCTGCCAGGTTCATCAACTTTCACTTCGAAATAATAAATTTGACATTTCAAATGTGATTTATTTAATAAGATTATTCGAATTTTTGATTTTTGCTGCATTCTTATTCCTCAAAATCGAGTTCTTCTCCCGTCATCTTCCATTAACAAGTTTTTTATTTTTTTGCAATTCCGCTGCGTTTCATTTGATCTCGATTTGAAAGAAGATTATCATGGGAAACAGTGACAATCGCAATCATCGAACATTCATTTTTTACGTTCTCCAGAATCGATTTTTCGACGATCAATCATATGATCCATTATGTCTTTTTGAAATAATCGAATCACAGTAAAATTGGAAATTTTCTCATATGTTTAAAATTTTCCCTAAAATTTTTTTTTGAATATCCGATTTTAGCGACGATCAGATAATGACCGCATACGTGGAATACCCTTCTCTCTCTCTCTCTTTGCGGCACATTTTTTATGCTTAAAATTCTGGAAAAGAGATGACTATCTTGGTCTTTAGTCTATTATACAATACGACATATAAGGCGAATGGCGGGGGTCTCGAATTCATTTTCGATTTGTTTAGACCACGTCGGCATATCCAATTAAAATTCGCAATTCGCAAAAGAAAACAACATCAAATGAATTTACTTGCTGAAACAATTTTCGACGAAATTCTTACAAGCTTTACACTTCTGAATGAGACCTTTTTTTTCAAACAACGACAACGAATTCGGTTTGAGAATTCCGTGCGAGATTATTTTCCGCGAAATTATTTTCTCCATGCGCGGTTTCCAGAATTTCATACAAGTTCCTTTTGATAAATTATAGCTTTGGGAACAAGTCTTATCATGATTACCAAGTTGCATAACAATTCATTTTCCTAATCCACCGATCGAAATATATGTCAACTCGGAAGTTCGAACATTGTATTCCTTCCATTGTTTTTTTTTCTGTCTCGATGTGTTACACTTGCGAATATGAACGAAAACAATTTGCGGTTGAACCTCTCGATTCTCTCTTTCTCTTTCAGTAATGCATAAAATAATATAAATACTTTCATCGTTTCCTCTAATCGCTTCTATTGTCCTTCTAATTCAGGTCGGTTCCAATCTAGGCTGCATTCTTGCTGGTTTCTTCCTGAACCTTGAAATCGTTTCCTTATAATGATCGTTTTGAATTTGAATCATTAATTAATTAAAGCTCAGCTCCTCAATGTACTTGCTTTATTCCCTTTCAGAATTGAGCAGTAGAAAATAGAAAAAAAATCCATGAGTAATTAGTTAAAATATTGAAAAATGTGGAAATCTTTTGATGCCATGGTTTTATAATCATTTTGGATTGGCTCTAGCATGAAATGCTTGGAAAAGTACAGTCGATATCAAAGACGCATGCAAAAATTTGTTGATTTCGCGTTAAGATCAAAAATGGCAAACGCGTTGTTAAAATTTTTGATCAATTATTTTGAGCTCCTCGGGCGGCTAATTTTCAGAATCAAAATCAAATGTTTTCTATAAGTGCCATCCGGCTGCATTGGGGTAAATTTACGAGCGTGCGCCTTTCGCTATGGTCTTGACACGAGCAAACTGATTATTTTGCATTTTATTTCACATTACGATATTTTTTTTCATTAAAATACCGTTAAAAATGTTTAACTCAGCAAAAAAATACAAATATTTCAAAAAAGTAAAAAATAAAACTATTCGCACGTGGCGAGACCTTAAAAATATAGAAATATGATGGAACATAGACAAGAAATAGAAAAAATAAAAAAAAGAACAAAAATCCTACGTCAATTCGTTGCGGAAAAAAATAATCGCGATCTCAACAACATGTGTATTGTCGTCAAATATAATGCACAAGTCCGCAATGACCTCAATTTCGCTTATTTTCGATATTCTGGGCAATTTATTCATTCGTACTCACCTCTGTGACCCCGAGACACCAAAAACTGGACCCTCAAAATGCTCTCTCACGGGAAAATTACTTGTTTAAAAATAGTCGTCAGATAAAATGTATTAGGTGTAAACACTCGACATTCTCATTTATGGAAATTCGTATTTCAATTTCAGATTTTTCATTTTTCAAATACCAATTCAAGGGTAATGAATGAAGGACAAAGAAGACGTTAAATTTCGAATTGAAGCTGAAAATGTGTTTTGACGACAAATTTTCTCCGCGACGAATTCATTTTCATTCTTTTTTTCGATTTCTTATTTAGTTTCAATGATATTTTTATACTTTTAACGGCCCCTCCCTTTAAACCGACAATTCCGATAAATTTCGACATCCAATATTTCAATAAATAGAAACATTCATTTTGCACACAACTTATCAAACTTGCAGATATTTTAAATCTTCAAATATCCCTTTTCCCCCTTATCAGAACCTTCCAATTCCAACCAGAAACCATCCATTATTTTTTCTGAGGCCATGCTTTTTTTCAACAAAACCAAAACGGCGAGATTCGGTAAATGTCTCACTTTCATTTCTCCTAAAAATTTTATGAGATGATCTTTGATTTGTTGTACGGCGTCCGACCATCCATAAATTCATTCAAATTTCACATCAAATCGTGAATAATAATCGGTGATAAAGCATTCTTCGAAGCAATTTTGAAAAAAAAATCAATTTTTTTTTTAAATTTTCTAGGAATGTTTGTCGGAACACACAGAAATTCGTTTTCATCCAGATTTTCGTTGGAAAAACAAATTGATAGCAAAGATGGGGGGTAACCTGCTGGAAACTTTACTATTGTACGTTTCCGCAACCAACCATTTCTCACTTTTCCCTTTGAATTCGTACACCTCGTTATTTCAAGTTTTCCAATAAGCTTGACCAAATTACGATTCTTCTTTTTTTTTCTAAATTTTTAAGGTCAATTGGAGCTATTTTTTCGCTATTAATGATTACGTCAAAATGATTAATTCCCACTCACATGGATTTTGAATCGACGACTTATCAGATCATGCAATTTGAGATTATTTAAAGTATTCTAAACGCAACCTTATAAGACCTTCTCATTTCACTGACAAAGTCGTACGTCGAATCACCTAATTCCCCCCTTCTTCATCATCATCAAAAAAAAATTTCCGCAACGAAAATTCGAAATGAGAATTTTGTAATGATGATTGCCATCGACCAATCGGCTGGTCATTTTCATTTTGCAGCAGCATCATCAGAAGGTCAATTCCATACCAGTTTCTGTGAGTTTTTCTTACACTAAACTCTCGCCTCTTCCCTTTCGCGTCCGCCGTCCACCCTTCTCCAACCCGACCCCCCCCCGCCTCGACGCCCCCGTCAGTGTCCATCTGATTTCAACGACTCTCATTTCATTGACATCTGCTGCAGATTTATTACTATATTTTAATATGAACGATTTCGGTAAGGCGATTTTTGAGGTGTTGTATTAGTTGAAGGAGCAGAGAAATTTTAAGCAAAAATTAAACAATAGTCAATCTCGTTTTGGGTTCCTCGTTGAAGTCTTGAAAATATTTTTGAAGTCTATTCATCTTGAAGTCTATTCATTCAAGATATTACCTTATTCGAAAATGTCATAAAATGAGTCAATTATTTCTAATCCATTCGCTTGCGGATTTCAAACAAAATTTGAGAATTAATGAAGCATTTTGAAGGAGTTTGTTGAATTAATGGGCGTCTTATTTCAATTACACAACTTAAAGATTTTGGCGAGGAAAAAACCTAAAAAAAGCCTTTTCAAATTTATCACAAAACTTCAATTTCCGACTGAAATTTTATGCACAAACGTCACACATCAAATTTTTAAAACGAGAATTCATAAAAATTAATGCCATCAGCAAATTATATCACGCATGTTCAATTTGCTTAAAAGTCTTGATTTTTTCATTTCTTCTTGAAAATTCTGATCAGAATTATGAAGATATAACAATATAAAATGTGGAACTAAACTTGGATCTCGAGATATTCGTATGAAATGATATGATCTCTGTTGTGGGCGATCCTCTTTTGCTACATCCAATCCAAAAATTAATATCATCGTCATAGTATGTACTTTATGCTGAGAAACGCCATAATCTTTCTAGAAAATTGGCCAAATTTTTTTTGATGAGCAAGTGTCATATTCGTGTTTTTTCGTCTTGTCTTTGAACCAAGACCACAATTATCTTACTCACGTTTTTTTCGGCTCAAAAAAGCCCAACAGTATTTGCATTTTTGTCTGGGTTTTAAAACGAAATGAATGAACGCAACACCAAAAAAATTGGCGGTTTCCTCGTTTCGATTCAATTCCCAATACTAACTGGTTTCCACATAACTTTTGCCTATTCGATTTTTCCACCACTTTTTGAAATACTAATATAAATTATTAGGTAATTCTATTGATACATTATGCAATTGAGGTGCGATGCCAGTTTCACTTCATATCTCGTTTTATTCCTTCTCCATTCCTTCACTTTTCCGATTTATTCATAGCGGTGTTCTCTGTGTGTTTTGTTATTATTTGGATGAACGAAAACAATTGTTATAAAAAGTTTTCTTTTTGAAATTGAAAATATTGACAACGTTGAAAACCATTTCGCTCAAATTCTGCTTCGTTTCTTGGCGCGGAAATAATCAATTTTTGAATGCGCCTTTAATGTGTACTGTAGATTTGTATATGCTTGATACTCAGCCAAATCGTAAATAATTCGAATATCAAATCACATAGGTCACATTTTAAATAGACTCTTCAAGAAGTCGTTTATTTTTGACTTAAAAAAATATTCGAAATTCTGCTATTCGTTATATAGATTAAAAGACGCGTGCAGCCGCCTTTAACGTTCTTCTAAAAATGAATAGCTTTTATTTATTTTTTTTCTGCTCCACGAAACTGTGAATTTTGATCCGTAAATCTCAGATTTTTTCCACGTTAATACCATTTCGTGCTCGATTACTAGATAATTGCCAAACGCTTTATGCGGAAACTATTGGACACCTACTTATCGCACTTTTCACATCCGGGGAAAAGCATATTTCATGGGGCAAAAAAAAAACTAGGAACTAGCCAGGAACCGACCGCCCATAGCACGTGGTGAGCTATCGATGGAATGAATCAAACCAACAAAAAATTTTAGATTAGTAGTAGGTTAAGGAACCTTTAAATTGTAGGCTCTAGAAACAATATTTCGCAAATACAGTTGTCATTTTTTCAATGTTCATTTCAAAACGCACAGAAAATTTATTTTTTCGTACACATTCACATGTGACGAGATCATTGTTCAGAAATTATTTAACCCTTCTTTGTTTTGAATTGGCTTAACTCGATTTATTCAATTTTCGATTTTTTTGCCTCAAACAATTGCTGCAGTTTTCCATTGAAATATTGTCAAAAGAAATTGACAAAAATAGCAAATTTGTCGTTTTCAATTCAACAAACCCGCCCACATTGGTTCCAAATTAATTCGACGTCATTCCGAAAAATCGTAGCGCCACAAAAATGTAGCCGTCACCAGAACCGACGTCATCACTTTTCGGCTAAAATTTTTACAACAATTTGAAAAAAATGGACAATCTTTTATAAAAAAAAATCATTTTTATTCATCTTCTTTAAATCGATCTAGCAACTTCGAAAAATGGGCTGGATGACGACTAATAAATCAATTTGAATTGCGTAACCAACGAATGTCAGCCACAGATAGGAAAGCAGGCAAAAGCTCAGCTCACACAAGATAATCTTCATCATTGATAAACCTTCGGTTCTCTATCTGATCTTTTTTCTCGATTAGATTAATGAACCCTTGAACCCGATAGCCCTATTTTTCAGTTTCGCGCCTTCTTCACAACCAGCCGACTCCCGACGACTCGAAATTTTTGAATGAGACCATGCAGGCTTTATGGCCATACAATAACAATAATAACTATCGATCAGTCACGTGGGATCGATATTATGTCAATGAGCACTATGATAGTGAGCATAAAAAATATTTAACTTTTAGAATTATCAACAAAAAATAATGGTTTTCAGAGCACGTCAACGTGAGCAGCGGTGTCGCTGCGGGCGTCACCATCGGAATATTCTTCGTCGTTTTTGTTCTCACGTTCGGTTGCCGAATCTACAGTCAATATGTCGATAGGGACCACGGATCGCCGTCTTCACAGAATAGTGGTAGGAGCTTTAAGATTAATGGAATTTTATAAAATTGTATATTGAAAAATTTTTTATTTCATAGAAACATAGTTTGATCGTAATAATTTTTGCCAGATTCTATTTTTTCTAAAAGTTTATCAGTAATAATTTACGTCTAATAAAAAAAAATCCGATGCAGGCATATTATTCTAATCGTCAGTTGTTTTTGGGACGTGGGTATCAGGCGATTTCCGATGGCTGTGACGTTGTCCAGGCGATGATGCACTATTGGGGGGATGACCATCTATTTGAGTGAGACTAATACCGATTAGAACAGAAATTCACGAGCTGATAAACAATTCAGACATGACTCTAGAATTTTAGTCATTCATGCGGCTAAAAAAAATGTCCGCCAGCCCGCCCGAAAAGACAACTCATCGTGCGTGCGGACTACACAGTTCTTCTCATCCACATGTGAAGCTGCACACATTTTTGCCCGCCCACATGGATTACTTACTAGAATGTTCTACAATTGAGAGCGTTCGATGGAAAGAGACGCAGAATTTTGAGAAATTCTAGAAACTTCCACAGCCAGCCTGGAAAATTTTTTAAAAAATGCACCAAAACCACTGTGATCTTAATCTGCTTAAAAGTTTGCTGTTGGGAATATCATTCTAGAAGTTCAATTAATGGAATCGGTTTTTTGCAGAAGCCATGATGAGCGAATCAATAGCATCTGATATGTGGATATGCGGTCGCCCGTCTGAGCCGCCACCACCCTACGAAATAGCCATTCTGATGCCAACTTCTCCACCATGCTGCCCAGTTGCTCACGTCTAGATTCACCATTCAACCACTAATCACATTTCTAGGCTAGAACAGTAACCAAACACTGCCCACGACGTTTTTTCCCCCCAATTTTTTTGTTGCGATCTTCTTCGGGTATCGACACTCTTCTGACAGATTTGTTGTGCCTTTTCAAAAAAAATTTTTTTACGCCCAACCGTTTTGACCACCATATTCCAACGATCTCGATTGTTTTTTTTTATTTTGTTCTTTTTTCTCTTTTTGACAATCATACATGTATATTTTTTGAAATAAAACACGAGAAATGTAGAAAATCGCAGAGATCATCGAATTATGTCAAATGTGCATTCAATAAAAACAAGCAGCGCCTATTCCTGCGACGATTCGGGACTCGCGAACAGCGTCGGATCCTTTTTGCCCTCGCAAAATTCGCCGATGTCGGTTTCGACGCATTTCTCGAAATACTCGTCTAAAGGATGTGCATATTCACTATTCCAATCGCGATTGAAAATTTCCTAGAAAATGAGAATCGAAAAATGCGATAAGAAAAAAGACTTACGGTCATTTCTCTAACGAACGGCCTAGTCTTTCCGGTCTGTCGAATCACAATTGCTGCTCCAGTAGTGCCGCCCATGAAATAGTCGCCAGACCAGTTGCTAGTACCTGGATCGAGCTTTTACTTCATATAAGAGACTTTTGAACTATACCAATGATAACCGCGGATTCAGTGACCATGAATTTATTATGAGTTCTCCTTTCTCGATTTATCACAATACTTTCAACATTCGCCGTTGGCACTTTGAAGATTTTCTTGAAGAAAAAAAAATTGCATGGGATATCAGGCTTCATCGATTTCAAACTTCCTCACCACTTGCATGGTCCCATTCGCATAAACATTATTGAGCGATTCAAGGGATCTTAAGAATCGGGTTCCAATATCTGGATAGTGTAGGGCAGCAGCCAGCATTCGGATTTGCACTCCTCTTACAATTGCCCGCCTGATTGCGTCGTCAATAATAGCAAAGTGACTGCAACATGTATTATTATTATTTAGATATTGGAAAGCTCACAAGAGCATTGAATAGAGACATACACTTTAGGGTTTCTGTACAAGAACAGTGGGAAGTAGTCCATTACATGAATGTCAATGAACTGCTTGGCCGAATCAATCTCGTGAACAATCGCGTCCAAATCCCACGTTCTCCTCGGGTTGTTCAATTCCTTCGGCGATGTCTGAAGCCCTCACATTTCTCGTCTGAATCTTGCCGATGCTCTCACCGCAATGTAAACTTTCGCTGGTTTTCCTTGAATCTGCACACTCAATGGTCTTTCCTTATTATAGGCCGCATTCCGCTGAAGCGGTTTATTATTGTTGAGGCCCGTCTCTTTAAGATGCCATAGAACGTCAAAGATATTGTACAAATCCTCTCCAAGACATTCGCAATCTTCGATGAGAAGGCCTAATTCCATTTTCTGAAAATGCTCTTCGTGTTTGGATGAACCGTCGATGCTCATTGCCTGATTAAGCGACCTCCAGTCGAGGTTCGCTGATCCCAGATAAAAGTGCTTCCTGTCGGCAATCATAAATTTCGAATGCATTTTTCCGCGGCCCATATAATGACTAATATCGATTGATTTTCGATGAACTGCTCCTGAAAAAAAATATCTTTTTGGTGGCATATCTGAATCAAAAATTTGGTTTTCTGTTTCAGCGTCGAAATAAGAACAAATAATAGTTCCTGAAGACGATTCGAATTTGTTTTTCCTTATCGTACCATAATTTTGAAGAATCACACCATCCGCGTTATCTCCTTTATCTTTTGGCGGATAATTCTCGATCATTCTGATATTTACTTCACCGGTCTTTCCTACCGACATGATGTTGCCATAAATGGCATCGCCCTGAAATAATGCGCCAATTAGAGTAATCGCAATCATTTCTCGATCGTTTTACCTCATTCGAGAACAATTTGTCCATATCGCCGAGCACATGTTTGCCCTGTAAACTCGACTTGTAGGCGGCGATGAACAACTCCTCACGCGCACTTTTAATCAGATGACTCCACGCGCGGTACGTCGACATCGGAAGCGGCGAATCGCCGAACGTGATGTTGGTCGGAATTGTCTCGACGACACGAAACCTCCAAAATGAATCACTTGGTAAGGCAGAAAAAATGATAGGGTGATGTGTGCTGATGGTTCAGTTCAGTCAGCAAACCCGTACGCATCGTCAGCATAAAGCGAGTTGTCAACGAAATTTTTTTCGTTTCTTTTTTGGGAATCAAATAATCAAATCAAATTTATCAGAAGAACACTGGTACCAGCAACCACTAGAATTAAGCGAATCTGCAGTTTTAGCAGAACTTTCTTGAATTTTTATTATTTTACTATTCCAATCGCTAAAAGACGAGCACCTCGTTACTGTAATTTAACAACTGATCCGTAAACATCCAAGGCGATCATTTTTGCCATGCTAATATCTATGTTGAATTCTCCTTATTAAAAATTTAATTTAGTGAACGACACCTTCTGAATGTTTGGATTGCAGCAAGGTATTTTCATTCAATGGGTTTCAATTCGCAGAAGCTCAACCAGGTCAGAAGCACTGACAAGGCAAAAAAAACTTCCGCGAATTGGAGGTGTTTAATCAGGAATTTTTGCACTCTTATCGCAATTCTGCTGTAGTCTATCCATGCTGAACACCAAATTTAGTACCGCAGCACTCACTTGCACGTTTTATAGCAGTTCTGTTCCTTCACAATCTTCTCATGCGGTTTTTCCGGCAAATACGTGATGACAATTAGTATAATAATTGGCATTAACAGGGTAAAATATGCCTTAAATAATATATTACATATAAGTATATATGATAGCATGGTTATGTTCTCAAATTACGCACTGTTAAATCCGTGTGTTTCTTTCCATTTTCTTTATTTCCTTTTGTGTTGATGGTGGTGCTCATTTCCAAAAAAAAGAGACGTTGATTATCAGTTTGCACAGTAGAAAACGAGAGAATAGAAAAAAAAGTGAGAAATCAAATAGATTTTGATAAGAAAAGGAGTCAAGACGTACCTTGGAGCCCCATTTATAGGCGCATTGTCTCCTGATAACGATCCTCCGCCCACAGCCACCATCCGCGTCAAATTTTGCGATTCGTGTCACGAGCTCGAGCGAGCATATCAATCGTCTCATTTAGATAGTAAGATGCTCACTTTGGATAATTGTTTTGAATTAATGATTGATCTCTTAATAACTTCGATTAGAAATCAATGCGATCATTGATCACTTCTGTGATAAAAAAAAAATTAATGAAGATATCACTTACCGTAACCGCGACTTGAAAAAACGCAATACGGTAGTTATTGTACATTCATGATGCCATACAGTTTTCAAAAAAAAAACAGAAAACATCGGTTTAAAAAACTATCAGAATAGTCTGAACGGTCAATGCAGAGAAATTTTTTTCTTTTTCACTTTTTCTGCCCTGAATTTTTGTTTTTTTTTTTCATTTTCTTTTTTTCTCCGCATTTCTCCCTAAAATCATTTTGCGGATTACTTTTCTTTCACAAAATCTTCTCAGTATCATAACAGTCCATGGAAATGAAGAAAATCAAAAAGAAGTGACTTGAAATTAAAATATCGCAGACACAATGTTAATTGATCAATTTGTAATTTTTAATTAAATACCTCTTTAGAATGGCAATTTTATTTTTTGATATTGTAGGAAATCTACAGGTTTTTTTTCATTATTTTTTCAAATCGTTGTAAAATCCAACTGAAAGTGCTCCTGCCTTTATTTCGCACAGACTTGATACGATGCTGATTGTTTGCCGGGCCTAGGCAGAGCATAAAATTCGTTGATTAAATAATTTCAACATGGATATCATATAATATTTGATTAAACATAATAATTTCAGCTTAATCGAGCGAAGAATGCCGTGGCGCGGCTTCGACCGGCTGGACCAAAACGACAAGCCTTTCACCGTGGCTCTTTGCGCAGAATCTTATTAGAAAATATACGAATTTAACGAATAGACAAGCTTTGACAATATAGAAATGCATTTACTAAATTATTTGTTTAAATTTTCAAAAATAAAGTTACCGTATGCTCATTCTTTCACCTATTTCTTGAAAATCTAAAAATTCTCATTTGCTTGCTTTAATTTCGTTTTCGTTTTATGATAAGAAGATTTCAAAAATTAATAAATATTTTGAGTGGCCGTACCATTATGTGGAACATTGTACAAGGTGGCCCATAATTATGGAAACACAAGTTTGAAGCCTTCTGGCAGATGCTGGCGCATTTTTTTCCCAATTTTATTTTTTATTTTTCAGCATGTTTTAATTACCCTTTTCCCAAATTTTCTAATTCCTAGCTTCATTTTTGCTGGAATGGTAGCCAATTCAGTGCATCGAGGTACCATTATCGATATAGCTACGTGAGGAAAGAGCGACAGTCGCATCGCAAAAGCTCTCGGAATCTCTCGATCAACAGTTTTTAAAACCGTATTCATATAACATTAGTATCAATTGAAACCCAAAATTTAATTGTTTTGCTCATCTGACGTGATTCATATGATTGATTATTTTGAGTAGTTTTATACCTTCTGATTTTAATTGATTTGATAACAAGTAATTACTCGATGGTTTCGAAATTGAGGATAAATTTAAAAAAAAAGCAACTTCAAATTAGAAAGGATTATTTATTTATTTGATCGACCAACCGAGATTCGCATTTGAGCGAAAATTAATTTGTTTGCTTCATTTCTTCAATAATTTGTGATTCGTGATCCTTTTGATCAATTTTTGATTCAAAATTTGTGCATTTCCGGTAATCATATCACATGGGCAACCGTGCGACCTCTTCTCCTCCGTCACGCCGATTTGATAAGCCAAACAATAACAGTGTGCTATCTCGAAAAAATCGCACCAATTACGTAAAATCGCGAGAATTATCAGCAGTTGGCCAAAATGAAATGGACCTAATCAGTGCACTTTTTAGTGTTTGAAATATCTGAGTCACGGTGAACCTTGAACCTACAACAGAGATCATTTTGAAGAGAATTTTCTGGAAAAAGAAAATGGATTATCTACATAATTGGCAGAATTGGACAGCTCAACAGAAATGAGCCTTTAAAAATCGTCTCGTTTGTTTTTCACATTAGAGAGTGAATATTAAAGACTGTGAAGGTTCCCCGTCGAGTTCACTTCATATTTTTTCTGAAAAAACAAAAAGAAACTAGTTGTTTTCAATATTCTTTCACTATTTTGCATGATTTTTTTTACAATAAAGGTTGCCAAAACATTGTCGTTTTTCCTAATAAACATCTATATATAGATATATTCTAAATGATTTTTATTCCCTGAAAATCATTGTTACGCATAATAACGCTTACGCACTTCAGCCATTTTCAGACTTGAGCTTGCGGTCTGAGGCTTGCTCGGAAGAAACTGTTGACCACTCTGCTGTAAATGGAGAATTGTAAAAAAACTAGCAGAAATACTCAATTGCTCATTTCCCCGGTTGGATAAAATATATTTGAAATGGGTCCGACGACTGCTTTACGCGGATCGGCTTACGTGCGAATTCGCTATGGTCTCGCACGGTCAACTGTTTATTTTGCATTTTAGAGGTAATTCCGTTAATTTTTAAAATTAAATGAGTATTCGAGTCTCTCTCTCTCTCTCTCATAAAGAAAAATAAAAACAATTAACGTGAAAATGTCTTGTCAAAATAAGCCTTCACGAGTGGCGAGAGCATTTTGAAATGTGCCCCTCCTAAATCTACCCGCGTACAGTCGGCGTCTTTAGCAAGACGCTGACTGTACTACATATTTTAGTCATAGAACCAAAGGCTAGCTGTGAATCACTGAGATGCCTCTTCTAGCCTTCGATTTGCTAATGGTATTTTCTGAAATTTTTGGTAGATACTGAATGGGGGGGGGAAACGCTGAAAGGGGGAACGTCTATTTTTTGTCTTAATGGGGGAAAGGGCTGAATGGGGGTAAAGTTGAAGAATGATATTTCTGAATGGGGGGTAAGATTATATCAAACATTGATCGATATGAGTGTTTTTGCGCGATTCAGGCTAACAAGTAATATGCTTTGGTAAATCAGTGTTAGGCTTAGAAAAACGAGTTGAAGCTCTAAACCTTAAGCGAACTGTTTGAAAAACGAAACAAATTAAAAGTTTCACGGTTTTACCCCTTTTATTAGAAGAACACACCAAGAAAATAATTACAATTGTTTCTGCTTCATCTTGGATGAGTCTTACGCCTATAATTCTAAATTTCTAAGCGCACTCGAAATATGTTTTAGTTTAATTACTCGCGACGATTTAGTTTTTTAAATTTTTCAAATATTCATCACGACTTTACACCCCGTTCAGAAATATCATTTTTCAACTTTACCGCCCATTCAGCCCTTTCCCCATTAACCCAAAAATAGACGTTCCCCCCTGAAAGGGGGAACGTCTATTTTTTCCCCGAATTCCCCCCCCCATTCAGCTTCCTCTCATTCAGTATCTACCAATAATTTCGTTCTCTCCGTTTCTTTTGTTTGTATTTTCTGTTCTGCAAAAAAATATTTGATTAGCCTTTCGTTCTCGGAATATTTTGTTCGGTGCAACTCTGCACACGTCCATTTTCTTGTTAGTGAAAGAATAGCTAATGAGCATTGAACTCATTTAATTATATCGAATTTTTTGGTGATTTCCAGCTTAAAAATTTCCAAACTTCACATTGTAGTCTAGAAGTTTTAAATATGCATTCGCCCATGATTAACGCTTACCAATTAAAGCTTCAAATTTATCGAAAGATTTCATTTCTTATTCACTTCCTCTTTACTTTTCAGACATTTCATTAAAATCCATTTATGTTTTTATTGCATACTTTATAATTACACTTGCTTAGTTTCTTTATACTAGGTTTTCAAGTAATTATAGTCAGTAAAAAAACAACAGAAATACTCAATTGCTCATTTCACCATAGGATGGAATATATTTGAAATGGGTCCGTCGACTGCAGTAAGCGGGGTAGAACCCCCCCCCCCTTTTAGGAGCATGCGCCTTTTGTTATGGTCTTAACTATCTGTTCATTTTGTTTTCTAAAATGTGAAACCCATCAGGAGTAAATAAAAAGTTCATGAGAAAAAATCAAAATTAGCACTCAACGAAAAACGTTTGTAACATAAATTGAGAATTACATCAAAAGAATCAACGATATCAAATTTGGTCTCGACGGCGATCCTCTGTAGTTGTGCGTGTTCGTCACTTGTTGGCTAATTGCAGGAGGTGATCAGGAGAAGCATTCATTGAGGGTGTTTTTAAATTGAAGCCATCTACAGGGTGTCATTTAAGTTCCCGCACAACTTTGAAGACGTATATTTCTGAAACTAAAAGTCCAAATCAAACGAGACTCGAAATATATTTTTTCTATAGTATAACAAATAATTATCTTTTAACTCTTTTCGATTCGGTCTTCTTTCGCAGCTATGACTTCACGGAGACGCTTCGGGTAGGATATGACTGTGGTACGCAGGTGTTCGATGGAAAGATTGTCCCATTCCGCCAGTAATGTCTTCTTCAGAGCCTCTATACTTGAGTGGGGTTTTGCGTTGACCTTCTCCTGCAAGACCCCATCACGGAAAAGTCAAGCGGTTTCGGGTCTGGGGAGCGATCAGGCCATTCGGATGACTTGATGAAGTCGGGAAAATGGGTCTGGCACCACTCCTGAGTAGTTTTGGCAGTGTGGGCGGGTGCTCCGTCCTGTTGAAAGACCCATTTCTGCCCACCGAAATGCGTTTGGGTACAGGGCATCAC